AAGTGCCCAGGAAGAAGAAAAATAATAATAACTAGTGCTAATTGTAACGGGGACCGTTACAGATGTTCCCCAAACGCTCCCCAACTCCCTTTTGGTGCCATATTCCCTATCAGCTTCATTAAATGAGACAAACTCTATGCATTTGAGACTTAAACAACATTTACTCAGAAGTGTACCAATTTCATTCAAATTTTAGCATTGCACGCGTGCGCATGTGAATGCACGTGCGTAATGACCATAAAATTTTGTCTTCACAATTTATAGATTTTAATATACTAAATATCAAAGTATTTAATCCAAAAGTATTAAAAAATACGCTAATTCAAGTGAATTTTTTATTTTACTCATTACACGTGCACGCACGTGCTCACATGAGCATGTCGACCATACTTTCTTGTAGAAGTCCATTACATCTATCTATGATCTAATTCCCACCCCGTTTGGTTGAAAACCAAGGGAATTATAGCTGTTCAAAGTTTTAGCCAATCAGATTGCAGCGCACGTACATGCACGTGTATGCATGTGCATGGTGACCATATCTTCTTGTAGAAGTCCATTATATCTATCCATGTTCCAAATCCCATCCTGTTTGGTTGAAAATCAAGGGAGTTATAGCTATTTAAAGCATAAGCCAATCAGATTGCAGCGCACGTGCATGCACGCGTTTTCATGATATTTGCTATATATCTTATAGTAGGATTTCCTAATACATGCCTATGTTTAAAATTTCAAAGAATTTCGTCAAAAAACAAGAAAGAAATTGAGACTTTAGTTTCAGCCAATCAGAGCGAAGCGCACGTGCATGCGCGTGAGATCTCGCTATTTTGACCATGTCATCATGTATGTACTTCTAATATATCCTCACATTATCAGTTTCAAAGCATTTCATAAAAAGTAAAAAAATTACGGCAATATCTATCATATTGGTCATTTCACGTGTTGCACGTGAGCGCTCTTGCAAGCACGTGCGCGCAAAATGACCTTGACTAGGCAATTCTACATAACATGTCTACTGACCCTAAAAAGGTTTTACCTACATCGGATGAACAGTTTACAAGATCATTCCCGGACAAAAAAGTACCCAGGAAGAAGAAGAAAAATAATAATAATAAGAAACAGAGTAAAAACAATATGTTCCCCAACTTCGTTTGGGGAACATAACTAGTGCTAATTGTAACGGGGACCGTTACAGATGTTCCCCAAACGCTCCCCAACTCCCTTTTGGTGCCATATTCCCTGTAAATTTCATTAAATAAGACAAACTCGATGCATTTGAGACTTTAATAACGTTTACCCAGAAGTGTACAAAGTTCATTCAAATTTTGCGTGCGCATGTGAATGCATGTGCGTAATGACCATATCATATTGTCTACACAACCTATATATCTTAATATACTAAATATTAAAGTATTTAATCCAAAAGTATTTAAAAAATACGCTCATTCAAGTGTTTTTTTGATTTTGCTCATTTCACGTGCACGCACGTGCTTACATGAGCATGGTGACCATATCGTTTTGTAGATGTCCGTTACATCTATCTATGTTCTAAATCCCACCCCGTTTGGTTGAAAACCAAGGGAGTTATGGCTGTTTAAAGTTTCAGCCAATCAGATTGCAGCGCACGTACATGCACGTGTATGCATGTGCATGATGACAATATTTTCTTGTAGTAGTCCAGTATATCTATCTATGTTCCAAATCCCATCCTGTTTGGTTGAAAATCAAGGGAGTTATAGCTATTTAAAGTTTCAGCCAATCAGATTGCAGCGCACGTGCATGCACGTGTTTTCATGACAATTGCTATATATCTTGTTGTAGGATATTCTAATGCATGGCTATTTTCAAAATTTCAAAGGATTTCGTCAAAAAGTAAGAAAGATATTGAGACTTTAGTTTCAGCCAATCAGAGCAAAGCGCACGTGCATGCGCGTGAGATCTTGCTATTTTGACCATGTCATATTGTCTATGCTACTAATATATCCTTATATTATAAGTTTCAAAGCATTTCATAAAAAATTTAAAAAGTTACGCCTATATCAATTAAATCGGTCATTTCACATGTTGCACGTGCACGCTCTTGCAAGCACGTGCGCGCAAAATGACCTTCGTTCCGCAAATCTACATAACATGTCTACTGACCCTAAAAACATTTCACCTTAGTCGGATGTATAGTTTACGAGATCATTCCCGGACAAAAAAGTACCCAGGAAGAAGAAGAAAAATAATAATAATAATAATAATAAGAAACACAGTAAAAACAATATGTTCCCCAACTTCGTTTGGGGAACATAATAAGAAACAGAGTAAAAACAATATGTTCCCCAACTTCGTTTGGGGAACATAATAAGAAACAGAGTAAAAACAATATGTTCCCCAACTTCGTTTGGGGAACATAACTAGATGAGATCTCGTTGCGAGCAACGAGTAGGTCTTCCGTTCGATTTTTGATAAGGTTCTAAAACAACTTTAAATGAAAAAAAGTGTTCAGATCAATTATTCAAAATACGTGAGAACACATTAAAGAGTGAAATCTATCAATTTCAAACAACCTCCGGTCTTTATAATTCACTTCCGGTGTGACCGGAAGTACTTAAAATGACCTATAACTCTTTTCTGAGTGTAAAGGAATCATCCGTGATAATTTCGAGGGAAAATGCTCATTTTTTGGACAACTTCCGGTTTGGAAAAAATGACTTCCGGTGGACATAATATTACTCGAGACACTCTATTTGCCTCCATAAGAAATATTAAGAAAAGAAAAAAATAACATTTTGCATATTTTTAAACTACTTCCGGTTGACGATGGACGCGACGGCAACAAAAACCATATATCCTTCTCAAATCTAGAAGTCATAATCTATCATCCGTGAAAGTTTCAGGACCCAATCTTCAACCGTTTTCGAGAACACACTCGGACAAAATGACACTTTAAAAACAGAAAAATGGCCATATCTCGCGACCGGAAGTGACGACGGCAAAATAAAAAAAAACATAAAGTTCAAATAGTTTCCTATCATTGCTGAAAGTTTCATGAAAAACTGTCGAGGCGTTCTCGAGAAATCGTCTGCACAAAATCGGTAAGAAAAAAAATAATAATAACTAGAAAGTCTGCTATTGCAAGCAATAGCATATGTCGCCCCGTACTGGACAAGATTTCATTTTTATCATCACTCAAACAAAGGTCCATTAGCTAAATTTAAACAACCATCGAGTTGTATCAGTCCTTTCCATTGGAAACGGAAGACCTTAATTGGGTACATCCCACTAATTATTTTTAGAACGGTAGGAGAAGAAAGTAGTGCAGGAAAATTACAAGTTCCAAAATTTGCAGACTTGCATAAAAGAAATCTGGCAGATGTACTGAACTGAGCCTCATACTTGTTAATTGGCAGTATCTTTCCTATCATAAAAGCTTGGGAAATGTCATTTATGAAGAAGATCAGCCGAATTATTTTGTGTATTGTAACGCCAGTGAGAACTCTGAAATTTCCCTCTTTCACTTTCATTTTAGAGGTTCTGCCGAAAAACAAATCTGACATGCCACCATCAATTCGAGCATTTCTGCATTGCAGAGAGCTTATGTTTGTTATGAGATGATAAATCATGTGTAAATTTTCTCAGTTTAGCGGAATCATGAACATTTTCGGCGAGATGAATGTTTTGTTTACAGTGGTGATCAAGGCTTCGCGAACCTGCAGGAGCGGATCAAAGGATTTATGAATGAATAAAAACTATGGAAATGACGTACCAATTTTTTAATTTATACTTGGACTATCTAATGAAATGAATAATATACAAGTAAAAGATATGCAAGAAAACGCGAAATGATAATAAATGCAGCTGACAATCGTTATTTTTTTTTATATAGATAAGATAAAATATTTATAAATTCAAGAGACAAAACAGAAGGAGAATGAATGATGGCAAAATATCACATGACAGGAACTGAATTTTATGAATGAAGATTTTAAAACGTTACTTGTAAGTTGTATATGTTATATCTGTGTATTCTACCTGGTTGTGTGCTTCAAAAAGGGGGGGGGTCGTCTTGAACATAGTACATAGCCATAACGTTTGAATGGTAAGTGCTAGGGCTTTCGTATTTCAAATATGTAATCCTTGTGAAAAGAACTTTTATTGGATACGACGAACTTTGACCCTTTGACCTAGACCTTGGAGAACACATGTGTACATCTGAATCTTTTTTTCTGTTTCGTTTCTATGGCAACTGTGAGCGACTCATTACAATTATTTTAAAAGTAGAAATCACTTTGACACATTGCAAGGAATAAACATTGAAAGTTTCAAAACGATTGCCTGCGTAGTTATTGAGAAAATCGAAATTAAAGAATTTTAACTTTCACCTGGTTTTCATGGCAATAATCGATTATTTGAAAATTTTAAATGCGAATCGCACAACTACAGACACTAATCATTCAAATAAGAAAAGTTTCATGACGAACGTTTAAGGGACCAGAGAGAACACTCTCGGACAAAATTTGTCGCTTTTTACAGGTTTCCATGGCAACGGTAGACATATTGGAACTGAACGACCTCACTGCACAACTACAACCAGTGATCGTCCTTTGAGGAAAGTTTCAGGAAGATTGTCCCAGCCATCTCCGAGAAACAGCCTGGATAAAAAAAAACATGCGTACAATATCAATATGTCGTACCCGACTTCGTTCGGGGCGACATAATAATAGTGGAAAAGAAACAACAGAATCAGTAGAAGGTCTTCCGTTGGAAACGGAAGATCTTAATAATAATGATAAGAAACGGAGTAAAAACAATATGTTCCCAAACTCCGTTTGGGGAACATAATAACTGATGGCTATTTTTCAAATACATGACAGTATTACATGATTTGTGATGCATAAATTAAAACAATTAGCCTATGGTTTTAGGTAAAAAGCCTTAGCTCTTCTAGTCACATTTATTTTATGCTAAAAGAAAAGTTGTTATTTATTTGCACTGTACATGCCTTCTCTTTACTTCAGATCAAAACTGTGAAACCCAAGAAAGGGAAAATGTATGGTGTTGATGACTTTGATATGTTGGTGAATAAATACAGGAAAAACTTGTTAGGAAAATCCCAAAAATCAAAATGGTTTGACCGGAGATGGTGAATTAATGATCAGAATAAAAAAAGAAGAGGAAGAGAAATGGTAACCGTGAAATTTGATTTTGGTTTGTATGAAAGTAAAATTAATATACTTTTAAAAAGTTTATTTATTACATTTTCAACATTGGAAAATATTATACCATTATTATGACATTCACTAGACTAATTTAATAATAAAACTTGGAAAATATTACAGGCAGCATTGATGATTTTTTTTATCCCATTATATATTAAAAAATCAGGTTAATAAACCGTAACTGATCGACATCTATTGCTTTATATTAACCTGTCTTATTTAATGAATAAAATTGGGAGGAATCTGATTATAAGAAAAAAATATGCAAGAATACAAAATAGCTACATGTATTATGTCAAAAGATGCAAATAGAAAAAAAATAAGAAAAATCAAATTATGGTTTTTCTTTCTCACTTTTATTCCGTAATTTACATTCACGTTTTTTTCTCAAAAACAATAAAAATAATACTTTTACTTAAACCTAAATTTTCTGAAAAGATATGAAAATAATATTTTGACTTTAATCTAAAACTACAACTTACAAAAAAGTACATTTTTCAATGAATCATATTAGGAACCCAGAGAAGGTGGTCATAGGAACATCACCCCGAGTATGATACCCAGTTCCATAATCATGTTCGACCCAAACTCGATCTCCTTTTTGAAGCCTTAACACCACCAGGTTCGGTCCTGCCGAATAGACGCTATACATATCAGCCTGTGTCAGTGTTTTGACTTTACCTGAACCATTGAGAACTAAACATGTATATGTATTAGGGTTATAATTAGGTTGAACGTTTATAGAGAAAACAAAGTGTCCGTCTACAGGAGATGTGAAGACACCAGTACTGGAGTCGTACCCTCCTCCTATGTTGTACACGATCCTATCAAACACCAGTGTACCACTGTTCCAGGAGGTGCTGTATGACGTCACACCGGCCGTAAAGGCTACTTTTTGGGTCATGTCTGCAATTTAAAGTTCAATAAATTTGCATGTTTTGAACTCAGCATTAATGAAGACGCATTTGATTACTCTACTGTACTTCTGACCAGTTTGAATTATAATATAATATTTATACACTGACACATGTACTATAGTATGTTATTTGAACCCCATGTGCCAATTCTTTGCATAGTTTTGGTGGATAAAATGAACTTGAACGTGAACTCAGTAATTCTCTTTCGTCATTTAATAATGGTGATTAAATAAAGATTTTCTGCCTGTGGTTTACAGTAATTAATGGTATATATTTTTTTATAATAACTAAAGAAATATTAAAAAGTTAAGGCGCCATCGTTAAAAAATGGGTTGGTTGTCCTCTCCCGAAAGAATGACTGAATTTTGTCCGACTCGAAACGTTTTTATTTTTTACATGTACATTCCAGGACATATTTTTTTTCCTTGGGAGATGGCAAGCAAACATTATTTTAAAGATGGCCTAAGTAAATTCTAACGATTTTTATTTTACATACCGGTACTTACATCCTTAAAGAAACTATTCTAGTCTATGAATTTACTTTTTAAAATACTGTGATGTACAAACTGCTTCATAAAAATATATAGGAAGTATCAATGTCAGAATACATACTGGTAATTCGTCCATAAACGTCCCTTATTTGATCGTCAAAGGTTGTATTGAGTTTGTCCGTCTTAGAGTGAACGTCCATAAGAGACAAGCTGGTATATCGCATCTGAATCTTTAGATCGTGTAAGTTGTTAACTGAATCCGTGAGCTGTTGAGTTAAATTTTTGTCATACTCCTCATTTGCAGTCAAAACATTTTTAACTTCATTAAGTCTTTGAGTTAATTTCTTGCTTAGGTTGATAAACATTGCCAAACTATCTTCAGCTTCATTCAATCGCAGAGTTAGATTTTTGTCGTATTCTTCGTTAGCCGCTAAAGATTGAACTATTTGTTTTGTACTTTTTAAATACGCCATTAATTCATCATTGGTAGGAGGCTTAGACGCGTTTAGTTTATTCAGTTCCGCTTCCAAAAAGAATACTCTGTTTTGAAGCAACTCTTTTTCTTTTCCAAGTATTTCAGTTTGCCTCTGGAGATTTTCCACCACAGTTGTCAAGTTAAGAACCATTTGCTTGATTTCGGCAACATCTACACCATGCCCACTTGACCCATGGATTGGATCTCTTCCATTAGAATTTTCATGCATCAACAATGCAGAACCATCTCCAGTGTTAAACAAAAATAGTAAAATGATAATGTAAAAAGGATTCTGAATTTCCATTTTGAAAGAGTTAAGTGGTCTTGTATTTCTTGAAAGCAGTTTATCGCACCTGCTGTCTTCCTTGTAATTTAGTACATGTATTTCATCTAGTGATTTAGATTATATACTCCTCTGACAATCCCAAATAAAAAGATAAGAAATTCCCAGAATTTAGATATTTTATGTTATTAATCTCAAATGGCTTTTTGTATAACATTTTGTTCTTTAAGAAATGCACGTTTATTATGTACATAAGATTAAAATCCTCGTTCAACAAAGAAACTTGATATAACATTGTTTGGTTTCTATCAAAATATCTTAATAATAAAATTTAAGTGATTTGTTTCTTTTTTTTTTGTGGTAATAATGAAAATTTGCTGAACAGGGGAATGAATTATGGATTACATAGATTCTTCACTTGACACTGAATAAACATAGATATCTACATGATCGATAGATCAAAGAAAGTGTGATCCTTATAAAGTAGGCCTGTTGCACAAAGACAGGTAACACATATTGTTTGATTTTCGTAGAAAATCTACATAAATCTAATCTTAGACTAGCAATTCAAGACTACACTATTTCGCAGAAAATCATATTGATTCTGATTCATATGCATGTAGTTGTGTAAACCGGTTGTTTCCTAAAAAAGTTTTTTTTTGTTTTGGACATCTAGGAATTCCCTGTTGTGAAACATACCCACCCCCATCTTTATTTTACTCCTTTGTAGCGACAAATTAATTAAAACCTTTTTTAAAATTTTGTAATTTTAAAACATACGGAAGCATATTTAGGACCTATATCAAAAATATTTTTGAATTCGATATAACGAATTGTAGAATTCGTTATAACAAATTTAATTCATTGAAACTATTTCTCCGAATTCGTAAATATGAATTTAATCTGTTATGTTATAAACCAAAGTTGTTGAATTCGTTATATAACGAATTCAAAATTTTTTAATACAAATTAAACTCGTTTAATTTCACGAATTTTAGAACTATTATCTAGAACTATTAAGAATTGAGGTCGTTTAAACGAATTCTTTTATTTTTTATGACGAATTGAATTCGTCAAAACGAATTCGAAAAATCGATATATCGAATTCATAGATATTTTTCTATAAGGCCTGATTGTTGAATTTCATTTAACAAATTTAATTCCTTAAAACAAACTTTAGAATTTGTTTAAACGAATTTGATTTATTATAACAAATTTTTGATGATCTCTTAAACGAATTTAATTTATAATAACAAATTTTAAATTCGATTAAACGAATTTAATTCGTTATAACATTTTTTTTTGGAATTCGTTGTAATGAATTC